GAAGTCCAGAATGAACCTCAGATCTGCACAGTCCCATTTTGGAACTGGAAACAAGCGGGAAACTTCCCCTGAGGGACGCCGTTGTTTCGACCACGCCCAAGTGTACCCACTCCAGGATGACCTGACATCGAGTGCAGGGAAAGAAGACTGCCCCGCCAGTCCTGAACTCCCCGACGGAGGAGGAGGAGGAGGAGGAGCCACCCAACGCAACTGCAGGCCGGAGGAAACAACCTGAAATGCCCACGAATCATGGGACCAGGCGAGAGCAAACAGTGCGAACCCCCCCCCACAAATACCCCGTCAATAAGGCAAAATGCGAAAGGGCCAACGACCCTTACAAGAACCTGACCGATGCTCGTAGTGAGCACTGCACCAACAAGATGTTGACGGCTCCGCAGGAGGGGGCCGGCCCCGAATCTGGCACTACTGTACTGGCTTATGACGACCGAATGAACCCTGAGCCCTGGCACAATCCTTCAGGGCAGCTTACCCCTTCTCCCTCCCGGGGTGGGAGGAACTGCACAGACAACGATGAGGTGGCTGTGGTGACATCATGCTTGTTTTCTGATTTTGGAGTTCTGCTTGCTTGTTTGGCTTTCGGTTTGCAATTTTTAACCAGTTGTAGTTTGTTTTGGGATTCCAATCTTTCTGGGTGCCAAGACATGGCAGGATGTGCAGAATACCCCCGTTGAAAAGCAGAGGTGCAACAGGTACTCTGAGAGAGAACTCTATCAACATCAGAGGCCCGAAACTGTTCAACACGCTTCCACTACACATAAGGGGCATAACTGGCAAACCCCTCACAGTGTTCAAGAGAGAACTGGATAAGCACCTCCAAAGGATACCTGATCAACCAGGCTGTGACTCATACGTCAGGCTGCGAGCAGCCGCGTCTAACAGCCTGGTTGATCAGTCCAGCAACCAGGAGGCCTGGTCGACGACCGGGCCGCGGGGACACTAAGCCCCGGAAGCACCTCAAGGTAGCCTCAAGGTAGGTGCCTGACCTGGTAAATAACAGACATTGACTGCTTCCAACTAGATATGGGTGTCAATAGGCAATTGCTCCTTGTGCCTCTCTGAGGGGGGCAAGGTTCTGGCTCGTGGTCCCCGGTAGACTTAGAACTCCATCGATTGACTGTTGCCACGGTCTAATACATATATACACATCAGCCTGGTATAGTTCTGAGGGAGCCAGAGGGGCTCTCCACATAAAATAACTTATTATAAGGGAAAGTGTAAGTGAAATTAGTTACATTTACTATTTGTATCTGCAGAATTGAGCTATTAGCTCTTGGACCCCACCTTTCTAACCAATTTATTTTTCATCTACAGTATTATGTCTACTACATATATTTCTCTTACACAAACACACACACACATCCCCAGGAAGCAGCCCATAGCAGCTGTCTAACTCCCAGGCACCTATTTACTGCTAGATGAACACGGACACCAGGGTGAAAAAACTCTGCCCATTTGTTTCTGCCTCTGCCAGGGATTGAACCCGGGCCCTTAGGACTACAACCCCAGAGCGCTGTACACTCAGCCACGAGGCCCCTGTAACATGGTATTGATTATAAGATATTAATTACATGATATTAAGTAAATATTTCTTAGTCTCTCTTTTAAACTGGTTGGGAGATGTACAGCTATTAATAACATTTGGGAGATCATTCCACAATTTGGAACCCTTGATTTGCAATGCATTTCTGCTTTGGTAGTCTCACTGTAGGAATATCAAAGAGATATTTGCTTCTCGTGTGGTGATTGTGAGTTCTATTACAGCCTTCTAGGAAGCGCTTAAAGTCAGGATTGGCATTGCAATTTAGTTTTATGGATACTGTATTGTGTTATAGACTTGATATTTAACATGTTCAAGGATTTCAGTAAAGGAGCAGAGTCTGCTCCTGTCAGACAGAGTCAGTCTGAGGCTGGAATTTGAGATTATTCTCATTGCTGATTTTTGTTGAGTAATTAGGGGTTCGAGGTAATTAAGGGTGGTGGATTCCCAGGCACAGATATCATAGGTGAAATATGGATAAATGAGTGAATAATACAGAGTAACTAGGGCAGGGTGAACATAGTATCTAACTTAGGAGAGAATGCCTATTGTTTTAGAAATCTTTTGGTAATATCTTGTATATGGCAATGGAAATTTAGCTTCTTGTCAATGTGAACACCAAGAAACTTCCCATTTACTCTGCTCGCAATTTGAGTATTGTTTATTCTTAGATCATATTGATTGTTAGACTTGTAACCAAACAAAATGTAAAAAGTCTTGTTAATGTTAAGGGTAAGTTTGTTAACACTTCACCACAAATGGACTTGATTAATTAGTTCAGTATTCACTATTGCATTTAGAATAAGTGGGTTAACATGTGAGAAAATGAAGGTTATATCATCAGCAAATAGAACTGGCTTCAAATGTTGTGTGGTATGTGGAAGATCATTGATATATATAAGAAAGAGGAGTGGACCAAGTATACTGCCCTGCAGAATGTCAATGTTAATTGAGAGAGTGGCAGAAGTAACCTCGTTCATTGAAACATACTGCTGCCTGTCACTGAGGTAAGACTGTAAGTACTGAAGGGAGTGACCTCTGACCCCATAGTGTTAGAGTTTGAAAAGAAGGTTGAACAGGTTGGTTACAGATGGAAATCTGTAACCATTCCTTGCTCATACACTGGCTCAAATGACAGCATATTTATAACAAAGAAAAATTGGTCAAATGGTGCAAAAAGCTGCATTTTATATTTACAAATGAGTTAATACTTAACCCTTAAAGTGCGCATCACGTCATATGACGTGTTGGCAGTTGTTCCAGTCAACTGCGCATCACGTCATAAGACGTGTTGGAGTACTACGCAAGATTTAAACGGCCCGCGGATACACGGGGTTCACCACACCTTCGTCAGGGCTCTTGTAAACAGACGCCATTTTTTTTTAAAATCGTGGGCCAAACTCCTGGGTGTTATTGGCCTCAGTATTGAGTGAGCAACCAAGCCTGACACACGCAGCATGAGCTAACAGCACTGCTATTCAGCTTGTGACCTCAGCATCGCCTAAAAATGCCAAAATATACTTGTTCATGCTATTATGTAGCAAAGATATTATTACAGAAGACCCCTGACTGATAAAACTGACCAGGGTTCTGATAATAGCAGGATTGTGGTGATATTTAGCGCTGTGTGCCATGGAGGGAGGAGTAATGCTGTGGGAGGGAGGGTGGTGGCGATGTCTTCTGACTGTGTGTGGCCACCTTTTATTGACTGCACTCACCATACCAGCTTAGTGGTTTGCTATGGTGAACACAAATGTAGATACTTATATATAATGTGTGTATAGAGGGTATAAACAGCAAGAGAAGGTTGGGAGCCGCCATTTTGGTGAGGGCGGTGGCGTCGTCTGTACGACGCCACCGTGCAGACGACGGTGTTGTTTACTGGTTACCACGATGGTCTTTGGGCACCATACCAGTTTACTTGTACAAGTATGGTGAATAAAACTGGAAGATATTTATATATGATGTGTGTATATAGCATAATAACACCACAGAGTATTGTTGGAGGAGAAATATTAGTGTGTCTGGCCTTGAGGGCGGCAGCCATCAGCTGACTGTGTGAGGTACTACGTCTTTGTGCCTTTACTCACCATATAAGCTTAGATGTACAGTTATGGTGAACAAAACATGTAAATACTTATATATAACGTCTGCATATAAAAGCAAAAACAGTATGGTGGGTGGAGAATGGTGGCAAGTCAGGTGAGGTGAGGGAGGGAGGGAGTGGCAGCCAGTGGCGGGCTGCCACTGCCACTCAGCATACCAACTTAGTGGCTCGTTATGGTGAACACGAATGTAGATACTTATATATAGCGTCTGTATATAGTGAATAAAAGCAAAAACAGTATTGTGGGAGGAGAATGTGGGTGAGTCAGATGACTTGAGGGAGGGCGTGAGTGGCTGGCTGGTACACGGCGGTCACTCCTCGTTACTTTTTGACTCATAATAGCTACTTAGTGGTTCGTTATAGTGAACAAAACATGCAGATATTTATATATAACCTGTGCTTATAGTGTAATAACTGACAAAGTATTTGTTCACTAATTGATGAACATACAGTAATTGAATCAACAATATGCACACCATATTTTTGAGTACAGCAATGATTCACTCATTTTATTACATAAATATATCAAACTACACACTATTGAATAATATTACAGCAAAAAAACTATGAAAAATCAATCAGACATATTGAAATAATTAGGTAATTATCTCTTTGTGGCAACTCCGGCCTGACAGCTGGCGATCAAAAGACCGCCTGGGACGCACGCTGAGTCAGCGCCTATTTTTTGCCAGACTTCCCCGCCCTATACGATTTTTTTATTATTTTTCCCGTGATCAGTGAACACAAATTAACAGGTTAGGAAGAAAAAATAATTTTTTTTTTCAAAATTACATGCGCCTGTGGGGAAGAAAGGATATTATACCCCTAGCATGTTAAGGGTTAAAGGTACAATCAGCTAGATGTTAATAAATACGAGCTATTTAGATATACCAGTAATTAAAATTTACGTAAACTTAAAACTTGCAAAAATCTTATTAGCATAATACTTTCCTAACACACATCAGGATCTTGCACCACATAAGTAGCAGAATAAGGCACTCAACAATGAGAGCCAAGACAAATTTTGTTAGTGTTTTTGCCTGAACTGCAGATATACCAAGGCAAAAGACCTAGAGGAGCACATGCAGGGTAACTCAACTTGCGGTGTTTTCCATTCTCCATTTACCTGAATGGCCATGCTACATATATGATTATGAATGATCTCGGCCAGTTTTCTCGTAATATAAGAAAGAACACTAAAGACTGAATAATCATTTATAAACCCATATGAATATCAAACCTACAGACAAATGACAACTACTCCAGCACATTGAGCACATTTGAAGAAAAAGTCTGCATATTATAATCAGCTGCAAATTATGCACGATGACTCACCAGATTAGTTGTAACACATCCTCCATAGCTGTGTGCAATAATGCCAATATGTTTTGCTTTGGAATCTCGGATGTAGTTGTCCCACACATGCAAAGCATGATTATCTGGATTCTCACTGCCCTGAAAAACAAGTTAAATAATAAAGTATTAATGTATTAATATTAATGCACAAAGGTAATCATACATACTGCTAATATTTAATAAAGTTCATAAAACAGTCAAGGCACTAAGTCCAACATAGGTGCTCATCAACATGCTCTAAAGTCTCCCAGCAAGTTTGCTGTAGAACTGAATGAAGCAGCTACTGTACTGTCCATGTGTTTCAATCAAATTAAGGCAATCAAAAAACTAGTGTTGAATGTAATGAAACACCAATTTCTGGGTAAGCCTCGGAGGCTCCCTGGGGCTATCAGACTAATATTAGCTATATCAGTCTAGGGCTTCAATCACATGGAGTTCTGCCTAACGGGAACCCCGAACTAGAACCTGGTTCCCTCAGAGAGGCACAGGGAGCAATGGCCTATGAAAACTCCACTCTTTAACACTTTGGCGTACCCCGCGCGCCACCCCTCAACTGTGCCATTTGGGTCCCAGGGGTGTCGCGGGAGCGCGCGTAAATTCTGAAAAGTGTATACTCTCTTCAACTTTGTCACCTTAATTCTCGTCCTACGATATTAAATTTGGTATCATTGTGTTCGCAATAGAATTCTCTACAGCACTAAATGCATACAAACTCCAAAAGCCCGGCTAATTACCCGCAGCAAACAGAGAAAGTGCAAATGAGTTACGCAGGAGCGCGCAAACGCAATAAAATTTTTTCACTATTTTCACTCTGGTCACCTCAATTTTCGTCCTAGGTCTTTCATTTTGGTCTCAATGGGTTCGCAATAGAATTCTCTAGAGGAACATTTGCATATAAAATAAAAAACCTGGTCACGCTCCAACCGCCAACGAGTTGAAGACGGGCCACACGTTAGCCGCGAGTGAGCGCTCAGACGCCTTCCAGCTACACTCCCAATTCCCGCCCTTTTCAAGCCTTTCTTTCGCAATTTTCTTCCTGGAAAAGCCTTGTTCATGATCACTATCCATCGTGGAGTAAGCGTAGATAGTTTCTAAAGCCGCAGTAAGAAATATAGCCACGGAAAATAGCCGAAATGTTCACACGTTTGAGATGCAAGGGGAGGCGACATTGGTCACAACAGTGAAGCGAAAACAATGGGCCGACAGCGTGTGCTGAGCTGCCTGCGGGCCATGAGGTGCAACAAGGAAAATAGGAAGACATCGGCGCGCATTTTAAAACCAGTCCCCAAAAAATCGGATAAAAACCTGATTTTTGGCGATTATTTAAAGTGGATGACGCAATGCTGCGTCATCCCCGGTATTACCGACAGTAAACGGATGACGCAATGCTGCGTCATGCCCGGGCGAAAGTGTTAAGAGTATATTCATGTCTGCCATCAACTGGGATTAGGCGCCCAGAAAAGTAGGTACCCCAAAACAGACCCCAGCTGGTAGAAAATTACAACCCAAGATCGAACAGAGCCCAAGAACATCCCCCAAGAAAAACAAGGTAACAAGCAAATCATCATTGCATCTCCCCACCCGGAAGGTCCACCCGCCCAAGCTGGCCACTTGCTCATTAGTTCGGAGACTGATCAAACGGAAGAAAAACTGCTGACAGGAGGGAGGGAGGGTGCCAGGGAGCCTCCGGGGCTCACCCAGAAAATGGCATTTCATTACATTCAACACTGGTTTTCTGTGGGAAGCCTTATCAGCTCCCTGGAGCTAGCTACCCAAAGATAAGTAAAAGAGGGACGTACCCGGGAGGCGGCAGCCCCGCATGCCTACCTTGAGGTGCTTCTTCCTTGAGGTGCTTCCGGGGCTTAGTGTCCCCGCGGCCCGGTCGTCGACCAGGCCTCCTGGTTGCTGGACTGATCAACCAGGCTGTTAGACGCGGCTGTTAGACGCGGCTGCTCGCAGCCTGACGTATGAGTCACAGCCTGGTTGATCAGGTTGTTGCCTCATAACAAAGACAAGATAACTAGCCGCAACCTCCCAAAAACAGCAGCAAGAGTCGCAAACTTCTGAACATCATGGAAATGAGAGTAGACCGCAGGCTGGTTAGACTTGAAAACCCTACGAACGACCTGAGAGACCCGAGCCCTGGAACAGGGAACGAGGGAAATCGGATCAACCCAAAGCACGTCCTCGGACAGAGAACCCGAGGTGCGCAGGTAACAGATATTATGACCCAGTTATCTCTAACTGGATGAATAACTGACTCGTAATGTTTGTGTATAAGTATTAAGTATATTAGCCATTTAGGATGAAATAAAGATGCTAGGTTATGCCTCATATTGATGGCTGTTATTGTAAAGGTATTGTGGAAGTATTCTTGATGTATCACTGTATGTAATGTCTTGTATTCGTACTATTGTATGGATTATGTGAGGGTGTGCAAAAGTACAGCAGAGGGAGCAAAGTGGTACTCTGAGCCTGTGAACTAGGCCTGAGACAGGATGTGTGGTCACGGGGTACCAACCCTGTCCTATGTTGAGAAATGCATGAGAGTTTGCTTGAGTTTTCCTTGGCCCAGAGATGTGTTGCAGAGCTCTGGAGTCATACATGTAAGTGTATGAGAATGCCTAATGTTCCAGTGGGTTACCATCCTTGTATGCGTATTCCTTATGTTTGTGATTTCCATGTGAGTGAGTAGCGTGAGGCTGCCTCACACATCTGGTGGACATGAGGCAGGGCATGCCATTCATGTCATGTTTCTTTACTGCAATTCTTGTGTATGTCAGTACTGTACTTCAGTTGGGAGCTTACAGTATGTAAGTTGTTATTCATATAACCATCACCTGTGAGGGTATGGTCATTCAGTAGTCTTGATTAGCAGTAATGATCATTTATGTCTTGTACATGTGGCAGGAGACAAGTTGGGCAAGACCTACTACCTGTCATGGAGGAGTTCTATGTTTAAATACGATATAACTAAATAGTACTGATTCATGTACTTAAATGTTGTCCCAGTAATGACCAGCTTGATTTTGCTTAACAGTTTCTAAGTAAATGAATGAGTTTAGGAGAGAGAGAGTCTAGTAGAGAAATTACTAGGCCTAGAGTGCTCGAATGCATTCGCTTGGATGCAGGCCGCTGCCGTCAAAGTGCGTAGTTTGAGTAAGTTGGTCTGGAGGCAGCATGGAGCAACCAGGTGGGCTGTGATCTCTTGAGAGCTATAACTCCCCCTAAGTAAATTTGTCAGTGTAATTAGGAAAATTAGGTCTTATTCAAATGTGTATTACTGTGGAGTGTACTAGCCTTTAATTGAGGATTATTGTGGATTAGTTTTGTAGCCATTATTATTTAGTACTCACTGTGTTAGAAGTGAGGACTGGACTTTGCCTTTACTCTGAGCAGGTCACGTGGTAGTATATTAGGTGTATGACAATGTTAGATTATTGTATTTTGTATGTGGTGTCTGATAATATACTGGTGAAGTTTTTTAGTTCAGGTTTTAATTGTCCTCTTTCATTTTCTAGTGCCAGAGCTCAGAGTGGGGAAAATTAGTGGGATACTAAACTATTTCACGAGCCGTATTTTGACGATTTTATATGTATGTATATATATATACTTTATATGTACTGTATATAACATCGGTGAAGAGCCACAACCAGACACAAAACATGATGCACCCCTGGCCTGACCAACCAAGCATCAATAACCCATGGACCCTCCAGAAGCCCGCCATCTCATTCTTCGCTAGAAAAGAAGAACAAGCCCCATTTATCCTGGCTGGAATAAAGCTACTGTACTTGCAATGCCATCAACATCCACCATGTAATTCTTCTAGACAACTACGCACCATCAACAATATTCTATACTTCATAAGAGGATCAGCACTGATGATACTTTTGAACACAATTACATTTTTTTAAGAGCTTAATTTTTACCACAACAGGCTCAGTGAATGGTTGCAGTCACAAGGTTGCCTATAAATGTCTTACCCTTATTCTGCTTCTGTTCTTTTTTCTGTTAGTCCGATAGTTGTCATTTGTATTCATTACTATTATACCATAACCTTCTTCTTGTGCTTTCTTGATAAATGGAATCTGTGTTCCTGAATCTAGTGAATCATTTATAATCAATCTGAAATAAAAAATAGTATAATCAAAATTTACATATAAAGTAATGCTAACCATCTGGAACAAAAAAATAGTACAGTGGAACCTCGATTCAATGAACCTAGATTCAGTGAATCTCCGGTTGGAAAGCACACTTTCCAGGCTGGATTTACTCACCCGATTCTATGAACTCTTGTTCGCTGAAGTGGGGATGTGCGGATTTGCTTAGGATATTGGGACAGAGTTCAGACTGGTGGAAAACTTGCCCATCACATCATAGCTTAAAAATTAAAGATTTCCTTAGTGAAATCAGCCCACAGAGCATGGGAAATATTAGGGTATGAGTGGTAACTCTGTTAATATGGCTCCACTCACATTTTTAATTATTTTTGTAGATGGGTGCATTATTAGAAGAAATAGTTGAGGCCTTGAAAAACCCATTGAACACATTTAAAAGCAAATTCTATGGTTCATTTTCATTTTGACATTTCCCAGTTTTCATTCACAAATATGAATCCATCTCCAGTTGCAATGAATCCATCTTCAGTTGCAACGAATCCACCTCCAGTTGCAACGAATCCCCACTGCAATGAGTTGGGGTTGGTATAAAATAGTTCATTGAATTGAGGTTGCACTTTATAATCAAAATTTACTTATAAAGTATTGCTAACCATTCACATTACATTAAGAATCATTAGCCATATAAAACATTTACTATATCAGGCTCTTAGATATCTACAGTATGTTCACCAGCGACAAATAACATTCTAATTATTCTAGCTCGTCTCCTAAGAGGAGCAGGGAGTATGTGAGAATCAAAGATAAATTTACTACCGAGGAAAACTGCCTGCAATAATGGCAATAATTACAAAACCCAACAACCTTGCAAAAAAATTAAAATACTAATATCCACTCGATTTAATAACCTATATGGGACTGTACCCAGATCTTTAAATGTGAGCCTCTGCTAAATCAAATTGTTGAAATGTTGTTAATATTTTGAGTGATACCCAGGCCCCTAAAATGTTTTTCTCTATGAAAATGATATAAAATTCATATAGCATATGTATTTGGTATTTTAATTTGTAATAAAACACAATAGCTTTACAAATAATATAAAACTACAGTTAATTACAGTGCTGTACTGTACTTGTACTTGTACAGTAAAGTTTGTAATGAATAGTACACATACAAACAAAAAAAAAATAGTTTCACTTCCCTCTCCTTGATAAACTGTGTAGCCTTCTTACCTTCTAAAATGCCTAAAAGTTTCATGCAATGTGCAAAGTACTGTATAGTTCCAATATGTAACTGCATTTCAAGCTAGTGATGTCAACGATTAAATCAGCTGTTGGCTACTATGGTATATGACTGATGCGTGAACACAGTCTGATCAAAGTCCAGATGGGTGCTGGTAAGTTCAGGTATCGTGTTTTGAATTTAATTGAAAATGATGAACATAATTCAAATAATGTCCTTCAAAAATTGAAGCTGGCCACATGATTCCACAGTAAACAATGAGGACATATGATCCAACATGGCATGTTCATATCCACTAGAAAAAAATATCAGGTGCCATATACAGTACTGTACTATAAAAAGTGTTTAAAAGGATAAATAAAGAATTTTTCTTAATAACAATTGTTTCCTAATATTTTCTGAATAGTAATTTGTAATTTGCTTTATTAAACAATCACTTAAAAAATCTTTAAGATATAATTTATGATTCATTGACGATTGAAGTCATACCAATGCCAAAGCAAACCTAAATAGCAGCCTACCACAGATTGCCATGTGGGGCTCTGGTTACCGGTCTTCAAACCAGTGGAACGCCAAATTAGAGGTCCTTAAATCGAGTGGATACTGGGATCGCTTGATTAATATTTTCAGAATTTTGCTTTGGAAGTTTGGTACTTTTTTAAACAAATTCTCAGGGGGAGTTTATGGATCTTGTGCATCTTATAACTCATTATTGGGCTGATCTCTGATCCCCTGGTTTCTTGCCTCATACAGGGGACAAGGGCCTTTATTCCCAAAAGGCAATGTAAGTCACATACATAAATGGCATTGGCTAGTCATATACAGTACATGTATTTCAAAATTCTTTTAAAACTCCAACTTATTCATCTCAACCTTCTTCAGTTTAAACCTACACTCTTGCTAAGCATATTGGTGTCTACAAGGCAAAACTTTCCTCCAATTATGTACAAGACAAAAATAAACATGATAATAAATGCGCTGACCTTCGGGACCATTGTCCAGCACGAACCACTCCACTACCATGGATCAAAACTAAAATCTTCTCTGGATTCGACATTGCATCTTCAGATATAAAAATAAATGTACTTGGTTCATCATCATTTGCATTAAATGGGACTGGAACTCTTTTCAGCTTGCAATCTTTCTCAAGATATTTGTACACTTCTTCTGTCAAGACCTGAAATAGCCTGTCTCAATAAACATAATATGCTTTGACATAAAAAAATCATATTAAGAGTTGTACCATGTACTATACTAGCCATTTATATTCATTATATAGAAAACAAAGCTACACATAGCTACACACACACACAAACATAATAACACAATGAACATTGTGAGAGGAGCATATGCATCGCTTTCCAACTTCAGACTTGCTTTTAATTACATAGATAGTGAAATACTAAAGAAACTGTTCATGACTTTTATGAGACCAAAATTGGAATATGAAGCAGCTGTATGGTACCCATATCTCAAGCAGCACATAAATAAACTGGAAAAGGTGCAAAGACATGCTATATAATGGTCTCTGGAACTGAAAAACAAGAGTTACGAGGAGAGACTAGAGGCGTCAAACATGCCAAAACTATAAGATAGAAGAAAAAGAGGTGATATGGTCACCACTTACAAAATACTAACAGGAAGCAACCAAATTGACAAAGATGACTTCCTGAAAACAGCAACTTCATGAACAAAAGGTCGCAGATTCAAGCTAAGGAAACAAAGGTGCTGAAAAAATATTAGAAAGCCTTCTTTTGCAAATACCTGTACAGTGGTAAACAGTTAAAACAAGTGAGAAGGTGGTGGAGGCCAAAACCATCGGTACAGTAGTTTAAAAGTGTTATACGACAAAGAGTACTGGGAAGATGGGACACCATGAGCATAGCTCTCATCCATTAACTACATTTAGGTAATTACACACACAAAGAGAGGGTCTTATAATGTTCATGAGAAATTTTTGTAAAAGCAGATAAAGATAAACCATGATTGTTGATACTTGGTGACTTCAATTTAAAATCGATAGACTAGGAAGACTCTGAAGCAAGAACAAAGGAATTTTGGACTGGACGATTCATAAGCCTCGTACTGGAATCTTTCATGTATCAACATGTAAAACAGCACCACAAAAATGACAGAAGGTGATTCTCCATCATTGCTGGATTTGGCATTTACCAGGAAAGAAGATGAGATATTTGACATTCAGTACCTACCTCCCTTGGAAAAAGTGATCATATCTTGTTGGAAATTAGATATGCTATGTGATATAATCTAGAAGAGTATGGTGAAATTGAAATAGTTGACAAACCTGATTTAAATTGTATGGGAACAGTTCACTATTGGGAACTTAGCAAATTCTTTAGTGAATTTAATTGGAAAGACTTGTTGCTAGCTAAGGACGTAAACGAGATGTATGCCAAATTCTATGAAACATACAACGAAGGCGCAAAAAAATATATATACCAAATCAGAAATGCAAAACCAGGAAACAGGATTGGTTCAATACAAATTGTGAGAGCGCTAGAGAGGAAAAGACAAAAAGATGGGTACATTATAGGAAGAGGTCAAACCTTCAAACATACCAGCACTACAAACAAGCAAGAAATACTGTACACAGCAGTGAGGAGAGGCAGAAAGGAACTTAGAGAAAGGGGTAGGGGACAAATGTAAAACAGATCTGGACCTTTTCTATAAATTAATTAAAAGCAAGCTGCATGTGAAGGATAAAATCCAGAGATTGAGAATGGGGAACAGGTTCACTGAGAATGAACAAGAAATGTGTGAAACACTAAACAAACAATTCCAAAATGTGTGTGCAAAATAAGGATTTCAGAGAGCCAGACCCAATGCCAATTTCAGAAAACACCACAGAGTACACAAAGATGCCTTGTGGCAAAGTGTACAATTTGATCAAGGGGTTAGGAAGAAATAAAGCTGTTGGACCAGATGGAGTTTCACCTTGGGTGCTGAGAGAATGTGCAACTGAGCTAAGCTCAGCTACTGCAATCAATATTCCAGACATCTTTGTCCTCAGGAAACTTAGCAGATATTTGGAAAAAGGCCAACATTATTCTAATCTACAAAAATGGTAGCTGAGAAGACCCTCTAAGTTATAGACCCGTATCACTAACAAGCGTGGTAGTCAAAACACAAGAATAAATAGTTAAAACCAAATGGGTAGTGCACCTATCTTGAGTTATCTTGAGATGATTTCGGGGCTTTGGTGTCCCCGAGGCCCGGTATTCGACCAGGCCTCCACCCCCAGGAAGCAGCCCGTGACAGCTGACTAACTCCCAGGTACCTATTTACTGCTAGGTAACAGGGGCATTCAGGGGTGAAAGAAACTTTGCCCATTTGTTTCTACCTCGTGCGGGAATCGAACCCGCGCCACAGAATTACGAGTCCTGCGCGCTATCCACCAGGCTACGAGGCCCCTCAGAGAGTAAGAGAGAGACCTAGAGAGTAATGACATAATAACAAAAAGACAGTATGGTTTTCGAACAGGAAGATCCTGTGTAATAAATCTACTTAGTTTTTATGATGGAACCACAGAGATTCTATATGAAAGATGGTTGGGGGTGACTGTGTATATCTAGACCTAAATAAGGCTTTTGACAGTCCCACATAAGAGGTTGTTTTGGAAACTGGAACATGCTGGAGGAGTGACAGGGAGACTTCTGACATGGATGAAAAATTTTCTGACAGAAAGATGAGAGCGGTAATCAGAGGGCAATGTATCTGACTGGAGGAGTGTTACTAGTGGAATACTACAGGGTTCAGTTCTTGCACTAGTAATGTTCATTGTCAACATAAACAATCTACCAGAAGGAATACAGAAGTATATGAACATGTTTGCTGATGATGCTAAGCTACAAGGAAAGATAGAAGACCTAGATGTTTGTCATGTCCTTCAAATTAATGTAGATAAAATAAGTGCTTGGAGTGTCATGTGGCAAATAGAATTCCATGTGAATAAAACAGAATTCAATGTGAACATTACATAAATGCCATGTTATGGAATGTGGAATTTAAGAAAATAGACCACACACAACTTACAAATTATGTGGAAAGGAATTAAAAATCTAACAAAGAAAGAGATCAAGAGGTGGTTTTGGATGGTAGACTGTCACAAGAGGAACACACAAAGAACATTGAGCGAGGAGCATATGTGTCACTTTACAACTTCAGAATCCCTTTTAATTACATGGATGGTGAAATACTAAAGCAACTGTTCATGATTTTTGAGCGACCAAAATTGGAATATGCAGCAGTTGTATGGTGCCCATATCTCAAGAAACACATCAATAAACTATAAAAGGTGTAAAGACATGCTACAAAATGGCTTCCAGAACTGAAAAACAAAGAGTTACAAAGAGAGAGGCTAGAGGCATTAAATATGCCAAAGCTAGAAGATAAAAGAAAGAGGTGATATGATCACCACTTACAAAATAATTATGGGAATTGATCAAATTGACAAACAGGAATTCCTGAAACCGGCAACCTCAAGAACAAAAGGTCATTGATTCAAGCTAAAGAAACACAGGTGCAGAAAAAATATTAGAAAGTTTTCTTTTGCAAATAGAGTGGTAGATAGTTGGAACAAGTTAAGTGAGAAAGTAGTGAAGGCCAAAACAGTCCATAGTTCCAAAGTATTATATTAGAATTAGAATTAGAATTAGAATATTTATTTAGGTAAATGTACATACCTAAAGAGATTTTACAAAGTTTGTTGGCTTTATAGATAGAGCTAGTACATACAATGCCTAAAGCCACTATTACGCAAAGCGTTTCGGGCAGAATGCTGGGAAGACGGGACACCATGAGCATAGCTCTCATCATGTAACTACACTTAGGTAATAATTACACACACACACACATACAGGAAGTATTTACAACAATGCAAGAACTGCAGGAATTGGGTAACTGGAGAGGGTATATTGCAGTGCCAGACAGGGTGAAGAAGTAACTAAAAAACCAGCATTGAATGTAATAAAACATCATTTTCTGGGTGAGATCCGGAGGCTCCCCAGAGCTATCCAGGCTGATATGTAGCTTTCTGGCATCAGTCAAAGTGCATGGAGTTCTTGCCAACCAGGAACTACAAGCCAGAACCTGGCCCCCTCAGAGAGGCATGAGGAGCACTGGCCTATAGAAACCCCTGTGTGGTTGGAAGCATTCAACTACACCCACTGTTGCAAACTGACATGGTAGTCATCAGGTGAATACATAATATGTAAATAATAAAATACTGTACTGTAAGATACTGAGTCACTTATATTATCATTCTCAAATACTGTACTAGCTAAACATCTCACCTCACCAAGAGCTTCATAGTGTTTCTGATTGTAAGACTGGTCTCCTTCTCGAACCACAAATTGAAATTCTTCTCCAGTTTCTATACTTTTCAACTTCCCATCTGCATATAAAACATGTTAAATTAAAACATTATTCCATGAAAATATAATCTTTTTTTAAAAAGATGACAAATTATTTAAGGTTATTATGATAAATTCCAAATTTAGCTAAAACACATTCCTCGATTCCTGATAAAAAAAAGACAGATACAGTTACAGTACCTTCAAGATCAGTACCAAGAATGTTGACACACACAATTGCTGAAAATACTGCACAGAATATGACAAGGCCAAATAAGATAATTTTGCTTTAGATTTCAACTAATTATATTTTAACTTTTATCATGGCATACAGCAGGGGACACAACTTGTAACAAGCTACACTACAGTGGTACTTTGGTTTTTTAATTAATCTGTTCCCAGAGACGTGTCGTAAGCCAAAAATTCGCAACCCGAAACGAATTTGCCATAGGAAATAATGTAAATTGAATTAATGTTCCACACTCCCAAAAATATTAACTTCTAAATACATTTCATACACAATACACACAAATATTTTGTACTAAAGTATGTACAAGTTATAGCTTACCTTTATTGATGACTCTTGTTGGTATATAGACGTTGAGGAGGGGGGGGGGGAGAGGAGAGGTGTTAGTGTTTGGAAGGGGGAGTCACCTTTTATTATAACATCAGGCAGTGATGACTAATCTGGGGTACTCTCTCTCATCTATGTTTTGCAGGTATACCACTAGAACCTGGTTGTGACTCATTGCTTGCTTGTCTTACTAAGAATCTGTCTAAAGACACTTGTTTTTCCTTACATTTTAACACATGTCTATAGTCAGACATCACATTATCATTCAAAAGGTCATGGCCTGCTACAGCTTTATCCGGGTGAGTTTTTTCAAGAAAACTTTGCAGTTCTTCCCATACTTCATACATTTTCTTAATGAGCAGGGATATCCTCTACTGGGGAGCCGGTCAGCCAAGCGGACAGCACACTGGACTTGTGATCCTGTGGTCCTGGGTTCGATCCCAGGCGCCGGCGAGAAACAATGGGCAGAGTCTCTTTCCCCCTATGCCCCCGTTACCTAGCAGTAAAATAGGTACCTGGGAGTTAGTCAGGTGTCACGGGCTGCTTCCTGGGGGTGGAGACCTGGTCGAAGACCGGGCCGCGGGGACACTAAAAGCCCTGAAATCATCTCTAGATAACCTCTAGATACTGCCTCTACTCACAACTATTTTCTTAGATTGAACCTGACCACTGACTTTCTTGGGACTCATGGCATGATATATAATACTTTTATGTCCAAAATCAAAATAGCAGAAAAACAATTAAATTCTTTACAAAGAATTCAAGCGTGATTGTCACCAAGCTGGAGGGACTGGTAAACTGAAGCATGGTCGCCCGTGCCACCAGGAATCACGCGCTCGGTCGACCCATACGTATATCAACAAAGTCACAAGGTAAGGCAAATGTCGTAACCCGATTTCAACGAAATTGAGGTTGTAACCCGAAAAATTTGTAAAGAATTTGTTCGCTACCCGAGGTTGGCTCGGGGAGTGGAGGAACTCCCAAAACCCTATAAAGGTATGCTTCAGGTATGCTTAGCTTCTATAGTAGCAAAATTGCTTGACTCAATCATTGCAAAAAATAAATTAATTATTTACATCTTGAAAAATAAATCAATAAAGAATTTGCAATATGGTTTCACTAAGGAGTCATGTGTATTTAACAAATTTATACTCATTCTTTTCAAATACAGTATGTATATTCTATGTCACAGTTAATAATGGAAAAAAGACACTGCTATTCTGTACTTTGACTAAACAGTACTATAAAAATATATGTTCCAATATTTTTTCTGAGAAGAGGTGGGAACAGGGGGAAACACAGGTGGGAGATAGATGGATAGATGGATAGATAAATATATAGGTGGATAGATGGATAGATGAATATATAGGTGGATAGATGGATATATGGATGGATAGATAGATAGATAGATAGATAGATAGGAGACAAACAGACCTGGGCAATACCAATACACAATTTAGTCTATATCAATAAGAGAGAGAATGTCTATCTGTCAAGTATCTGTCTGTCCAAGGTTGGAGGCTGGACGCATGGGTCTAGCCTCGCCCAACTTTGCAAGATTAATGGTTTGGGATGGAACAAGACAGACATAGGGTTCCCATGGTCAGTTTTCTTGGTCCTGTTAATAGGGGGGTGGGGGAGGGGTGTGGACTAATAGTGGCCTCTCTCCCCCACCTAATCAATGAAAGGTGGCTGGCCGAGTCCCTACATTTCTTCACTTGAATGCAATGAAAGTGAATTCAGTACTATACATGAGAATGAATGAATGCGAGTGAATGAAAGTGAGTGAGAAAATAGGAGAGAATGGGAGAGGGAGAGAGAAAGAAAGAAGAGATGGGGGTTATCTGAAAATATGGAGAAGGAGAGAGTGGGAGATATTTTAAGATATGAACACAAGTGGAGAGGGGAGATGAGGAGAGGAGAGGAGAGGAGAGGAGGAGAGGAGGAGAGGAGAAGATTAGGAGAGAGGTGAAGATTGGGAGAGGGGGGGGAAGATTGGGAGAGAAGATTGGGAGAAAGGGGGGAAGATTGGGAGAAAGGGGGAAGATTGGGAGAAAGGGGGGAAGATTGGGAGAAAGAGTGAAGAGAAGAGAGGCATTAGAGGGAGGGGAGGGAAAGATGGGATGTTGGGGAGAGAGGGGGGGGGGGTGAAAGGTGAAGAGGGGGAAGGAGTGGGCAGACTGGAAGAGAGGCTGGAGAAGGAAAGAGAGAGGGGTCAAGAAGAGGAGAGTGGGGTGAGATGGGGGAACCCAGTGCACCCAGTGTCCATGGGTGCAATGCTTAAAACCCTGATTGGGCTTCAGTTGCAAGTCTCAGGAATCCTAGAGGGTTCAGTGGAATCCCAGGCTGCATTGCTTTCACCATGTCATGACGTGATGGTCTAGGGCACTAGCTTGAGTGACATATGAGTGACATTGAGAGTGACAATAATGTTGGGAGGGAAACAAATGTACAGCAACCTGGGCACTGCTGAGTACCTCACTACAGTACTTTTTTTTATATTAATTAGCTACAGTACATCTAGCAGTGTTTTATATATTTTTATATGTTGGTGTATACTGGCAGCAGGTTTTCATTTAGACACGTTTCACTGAACATGACTGAATATTCTGTAGTGATAATTTTCTTTAGGGCTTCCATCCCTCTAACTAGTGATCTTATATCTTGGTTTAATTGAAGATTAAACTTTTTTAATTTAAGATTTAAGATTTAAGATTTATAAGATCTTTTTTTTGATTGATTCAAAATGATCAAAGATTGATTCAAAATGATTGATTGAAGATCTTGATTTATAAGATTTTAAGATTTATAAGATTTTAAGATCTTTAAGATAAGATGAAGATTTAAGATTTTAATTGAAGATTAATCCTGGGTTCGATCCCAGGCGCCGGCGAGAAACAATGGGCAGAGTTTCTTTCACCCTATGCCCCTGTTACCTAGCAGTAAAATAGGTACCTGGGTGTTAGTCAGCTGTTACGGGCTGCTTCCTGGGGACAGTGTCCCCAGGAAGTGTCTTCCGCGGGGACACTAAAAAGCCCCGAAATCATCTCAAGATAACCTCAAGAAGAAGAGGATTTCTCCAAATGTCACCTTTGGTCGAGGTAAACTAAAAGAAATAATTAACCGTAGAAGGTATTACACTAATTATAAATTTACAGGTTTCTAACCTACATGGTTCATTGTCGAGTGAATAGGACAGTACTGAGTGTATTGAATTTATACCATTAGGGAGGTCAGGTACATACAAATAGGTGAAGAGTAAGGCATAAAGGGGTGAAGAATAAGGCAAAAAAAAAGGGAAAAGCACATTCAGAGATAAATCTGGTAATTACCTAAGTGTAGTTACAGGATGAGAGCTACGTTCGTGGTGTCCCGTCTTCCCAGCACTCTTTGTCATATAACGCTTTAAAACTACTGACACCACGCCAACTACGGTGTAGTTGGCGTGGTGTTTTGAGCAGTGTCGTCTACATTGGCATCTTTACGTTCCGGTCTTGTTCTTACTCTCATGGTGGGTAGAGTGAGTAGTTCAGTTATTTGGGTACAGTATTTTTATATGTAATATAGGTACATGTACTGTATATCCGGCAATATTATTTTACTGATTGATTCACTCCGTGGCACATTTAAAAAAATTTCATTTGGTTACTTTTAGTATTAATAGTGTAACTCTTTACCTTGGTGTGCATATAATTTATTTTTTTAAATTTTATCTAAAAATAAAACTATGACAACTGCATCAATTGTATGATAGCCAAACTTACATGTAATATGCATTGGCAAATGGTTTAATTATTCCTGTAAGTCTTCTAACACCTTAAGGTATAATATTTAAAATGTGAGGTGATTGATGCTACGTGATGTCATTTCTTTTGGGAAAATGGGATGCCAGTAGAAACAAAGTATCAAAGATCAATAAGTCCATAAGCTATGAGCTGAAACTAAACATTAAATTTAATTAAATCATTCTGAAATGTCACTTTCATTTTTGTGTTAAGAGTTCTTTAAAAATATTGTACAATAGAGTATATACTGCAGTACTGTCATATACACTAGAGTACAGGCCATTATTACCTTTGCCAAATTCATATCCAAAGTCTATGAGTGTGTCAGGAAAGTCATCTACTTCTTTGCTCTTGCTGCATACAGAGCCAGCCATCGTTCATGTCAACCTGTTACCAGATTAAAAATCAAGCAAAAAATATTTAGTGTAGTGTAGTGTAATAAAAATCAGTTATTGAATATAATGAAATGCCTCTTCCTGGTGCATTCCCTCAGTGGCTCCCTTTTCCCACCCTGACTGGCTTCCTATGGTGTTACGGGAACATTGCATAGGTGGGGTATGACTCGGGTGACTGCCCGAGACCTCTCCGGTTGCCATGGACGTCATATGGTGGTGGAGTGTTGCTACCTAGCAATTAGTCCTAGTCAAGTGTGTAGTTCAAATCAGGTTTGCAAATGATGTCCAAGCAGCAGTTGCTCATTTGCATAATGTTTATTGTTTTTTCTCTGGTACTTTGGTGATCTTGTATCCCTAGTTTTTTTTGTCTTTTTTTTTTTTGAGGGAGGCCAGATTCTGGTCCTGGTCTCTGGTAGGTGCTTGTGATTTATTAAGAGCCTGGTGTAGTATCCAAGGTTTGGGGGTTTCCATGTGGGTAGCTTGGGAACCCACTGAGGGGAGCCCTCACAGAGATGTCTGTAATGGTATTTAAACAGGAATTCACCAATGTACAGTATTATTATTCTTTAAAGTTGTATAGTATCTCATTAATGTCTGCTTTAAATTATGTGTAGTCTCTTGTCTTTTATGTTTTACTTAAGTCATTAAAATTTAGACACCAATTAGCTCTATATTGTAATGAGTCTTGCCATTTTTATTACAGAGAACAGTATACTGTATATAACTTTTATTATAATGATCAGTAATAGGATATTTATATTATCTTTTTCTTGTATAAAGGAATAACATACAGTACTGTACTTTAAAGTTTGTCAACTAAAGTCACTTACAAATGTGCGGCCATGTTATGAATGAAGTTTTAGAATTTGTGTGTTATTTGATACAAATGTGTATCCAATGATGTCATCTTGTACCAAGATGTACCAAGGCTGTCCCAGTTATTGGGGTAGAGAACTGGATACTCCATTATTGCCTTTAAGGATAACCTGAGAATCCAGAAAATGAAGATCCAGATTATGGACTGTATACAGTACTGTATCTCTCTACTTCTATATTACACAGGTATTTGCTTTTTATACTGAATTCAGTACATTAATCCCTCTATTTACCTTGGATGCATTCCTTGAAATTTGACTTGTACAGAAAAACAAATACCTGTACTTGTATCTAATTAACACAACCCACACATATTTCATATTGCAGGCTCTTTACAACAATTTTTATATAATTTTCCTCATCTCTGTTATTGTTGGTTAAGGTATAGCAAGTCTGCTTGATGAGGACTCTTCACGACAATGAAATGAATTCAACCATGTCGCTTTATATATATAAAAAAAAAAAAAAAAAAAAAAAAAAAAAAAAGTACTGGATTTGATCATGTTTTATTTTAAAAATCAAATACTGTACTTAATTTATATCGGATACAAAAGGTCACCGGATAAAATTTAGGTCTTAAACAGAGGATTAATAATAAATAATAACTACTGTATAAACAATACTTTCTTAATTAGGCAAATTGTACCAGCTGTCAGGAGCTTTGCAAACCTTAAATCCTCCCCCAACCAGTAGTCTCCTTTCTTGAGAGTGGCAGTGCCAAGATACGGCATGTAGAGAAAAAGGTTTCAACCTACCCAATAATATTCATCAGCTCCCCCCAAATATTTAATAAGTACTGTACAGTATTGTCCTTGCTCGGTAATCCGAATCAAATGGATTTTGATTCTGATTCACCCTTATTTGAGTTAAGCAACTTTTTTGTTGGAAATGTCCAACAATGCCCAAATTCAAATTAAATTAGGAATGTACAGTATTTACAATGCTCAAGCTGATTTTATGGTGTAATTTATGAAATGAAGAAACTAAATTAACAGTATAATTTACCGTTGAAATAATTGGTCAACTGTGAAAAGATGGAAAAGATCCAAGATCACACTTCTTAATTTTAAAACTTCGTTAAGTACTGTATACAGCTTACGTAAATTAGGCATTCTTTTTTTTTTTTTTTACTGATCACTGAAGCTAAATTCCTTGTCACAATTTAGAATTTGTTCAACTTTTTTTCTGAATCAGCCGTATATATGTTCATAAACAGGGAGATTGGCACTTCAAAACATCTTATAGATTTAAAGAACCAATCAGACACAAGATGACCCTGTCGGGACACTTTTGGCTCTGCTGTCATATTAACACTGCTAGCAATCTGTATAACCCTACTAGATACTATCAAAATTTCAAATACACAAAGGATAACAGAAGCAAGGACAGGACCCTATATAGTCTCGCTGACTACCCTCCATCTCCGCAAACACAAGATAAAACACCTGCTGGCTTCCAGTGATTTTCTTGGTCAGTATTGTCTGACCTTCAGAAGAAAATGCTGTAAAATTTCATGGCAGGTTATCTGACAAATTCATTTGTATGTACCAGCTGACATTGAAATGTAACAAGGAAAGGTGTGGCACCAATATCAGCCACACCATTTACATATGCTAACTTTCTTATCGTAAGACAATGACAGGATAGTTTTATATATATATTTATTTGCTTCCATGGAATATTAAAATCCTATTCTATCTTCCCTAGTAAGGCAATTAGAATTCTTGACACTTGTGATGTCGAAACAAAGAGCCAGCAATCACTCAGCATACAGCCGAGATGAACTTTGGTGTAGAGACTAGATAATCAGTCTCCCCCTGTGATGCCCACTCAAATGGACCTCAACTCCTATCTGGTCTGAGACTGCACCACACACTAATTCAAACACCTTTCTCCTTAGCTTTTACGTTACCCGATCCCTCCTATTTCAGTTGAATTAACAGACCTGAAACTGGTAACTTCTCAGCAAAGGGATTAATGTGCCAACCTTTGAAACTACCCAGGGTGGGGTTTGTGTGACCCTACCTCACCTCCCTGGGACAGAGTCGTGGGTTACGTCACACTACAGGTCTCTACTCGGATAACTGTTACATGGGAAAATAAAATTTCTGACCATCCTGAAAACCAGGACATTCTACAAGGTGCATGACTGTTAGTGGGACAATGTAATTTTGACATTTAAGTGCAGGTCTTTGTTTCAATAAGTATGCCTGAGTTTATCAGGTGTTTCCAATATGTAACCTAGTCAAATATGTTTCCCATTTCCTATTTCAGTGGCAGGAGGCAGATCATAGGGATGTCACATTTAATAGTACTGTATGTAATTTGTTATTCGTAATAGCTAACCAACTATCTCCTCAGTGTTGCGGATTATATTATTAATGACAGGGTAGAAATTGGTAAGGAATTAGCTTCTGAGAAATGGGACCGACACGAACAGCACCAAGAATTGGCGTTATCATTGGAACATGTATACATGTGTATTTCAACTCATTTTGAACGAGTTGAAATATACATCTAAAAGGAAATAGAATTCTAAGCAATTAGTATGACTCCCTTCAATTAGCAATAAGATGTTAGGCCAATGCAAGAAACAAAAGAAAATTTTCAAAAATTTTAAACCATTCATTATTTGACAAGCATTTAATATATGTTTTATCGTATCTGAGTGCACAAACCTACACCAGCTCACTTAACCTATGAATGCCAATGCCGTTTAGTCCTGAGAAGAATAAATTTCCATTGCTTTTATTTCTAATAAAAATTTAATATGTACACATGCATCCAATGTCCGATATAAACACAGTTAGTGTGAGGTAGGTTGAAATATTGTAATATAAATATTGTGTCATTAAAATATATACTGTACCTGTATACAAAATTAAAGTCATCAAATATCCAATCTATAGTCCATTTAAAATACAGTATTTCATGAAGGTCTAGCAGTGACATACCCTTGCCCTGAGAGCCCTGGGAGCTCTGAGAGCCCCAGGAGCCCCGAGAGCCATGGGAGCCTGAACTTGAAAAATAACAAAATATAAGACAATGAACATTTTTGCATTAAATACAGTACTGTATACATACATATGACCAGTATTGCAGGTGTTAATTGATTTGATTAGGTGAATAATACAAAATTATTTAGATAAATATAATATGACTATATAGGTACAGTTTGAAGTTTCATGAAGCATTTGCATATAATTAAGTTTCATGATAAACAAAGATAGCAGAAATAACAGTTAATAGAGAAAATTACACTTTCTCGTTAATATTCTTTAAAGATAATGGAAAGGAAAAAAAAAAGTTTCTTTATAAATAAAGAAGCAGAAGGAAGTAGATCACATGATGATAAAGATTCATATAAAACTGCCTAACAAAGATAGCATATATACATATACACAACAGTTTCACTTTCAGTTATGGCAAACATCAACCTGATATCAATTGCAATATTAGTTTAAAAGATATGGCAAAGAATTCAAAAGGCCTTTTTTCTTTAAATTGTGCAACTTACAGTGCAAGCATGAAACACTAATTTAAAGTTTGCAAGAACTGTATATCAAAGTCTCTGCAAAAATGTAGTTTCATGATACTGGGCATGGAGCAATGGATGAAGGGTAGGTCACTTGGTCAGTCACGTTAAGTGTCACTGGGTCTGACCAGTACTGTGGATGGGTGTTGCAGTCTCAACAAGGGGGTGCAGTATACCAAATTTCACGTGTAATGCCATTACACTTCTTTATTTCAATTATGTACTGTACAGCTCAGAGCACAAAATTACTTCAATAGCTACTAAACTTAATAATTTGCAATTCAAGTGCTTATATAAACACACACACTTATCATACATGGATATTTTTCAACCCATCCTCCTGTTTAGATAGTACCTCTTGTGACGATCATCAATAGTCAGAATTTATATGTTCTTGGATTTTAGATACAGTAGTACTGTAGTATATCGACCAGTAAGGAATTCATTTGAAATAAATGAAGGTAAAACACAAACTTAAATATTCCTAGGCCTAGTATAGCACAATTTTGTACTATATTAGGCCTCAGATATTGTGTATTGTAAACTAACCTAACCTAGGAAGGTTAGGTTAGGTTAGTTTA